ACAAGTTCAAAAGATGACAGCTAACTTACCAATTTACATAGCAAAATGTGCAGAATAAGTATTTTTAATATCTACCATGTAACTCGATCACATTTATTTTTATAATTTTCTTTCTATTCGAGGAAGTCGTTAATTGCATATTTAAGTATTAGAAAAAAATGTTTGCAAGAGTTAATGGGGCAGGCCGTACAATATCTGCCTTCCCTGATTTTGCAAAATTTGAAAATGTGGCCAAAGCGACCGCAATTGAAACACAGTTTAACAGCAGGGATAAAGCAGCCCACTGCGACAATACAGTAATTGAATTTAACGTTTTTGGGGATTAATTTTCCCTTGAAGTCAAGCTTTATGCAGTTTTTAGGAATGAATATTTCTGTGTTAGAAAGATTCCTTCTATGAAATCTCGTGACGGAAACGATCTTAATTCAAACCCGAATTTTTCAGTAAATTATTAAAATAAAAAATTTTGTATTTAAAGTTTTTATTTTATACTTGTTGTTGCTGTCGTTTTTTTAATTCGTCTATTTTGTTTATTTTCAAGTTTTTCAATTATTATTATATTACCGGATTTTCTTATTTTATTATATTATAATTTTCTTCAAGTAATATAAGTAATTTAAGTAATAAATTGTAAATAATATAAGTAATTTAAATAAAATAAGTATAATACCATGGTCAAAATTCCAGACAGTCTCTTCAGTCCGGTTTTTAAAGTATATCCAGACTTATGGGATAACAGTAGAGGAAACAATTTGTGTAAGGCAATCTGTGGGAAGTTAGCCGACAGACTGACGAAGGACATTGGGGGTTAGTTACAACCCAAGACGTGGTTAGGAAAATTTACGCCGCTAGGTATAGTTTAAAAAGGGTTGACGATATTGTAAATGCTTGCAGGGACAAGCAAAAAAGGAATTTGAAGCAAGAATTTATGTTGAAGCATTTTGAAATGGAAAAAAAAATAAAATTAGATTCTCAAGCTATAAAACAAGTACGGCCGATGGCTGCATAAAAAACAGAAGCACAATAATAGCATTGAAGTACGTCTGCCACTCAGCGCAATTGAAGTAAACGCAGCAAGTAAACATGGTATTCATAACGGAAATAGGAAACCAACTTTAAATAATTATGAGAGCGAAGACCATACTAAATTATCAGCTAATTTGCATTCTCCATTGCTCTTCTGTCATCAACATTTTTTTTAAACAAAATAATTATTTTATAATTTTATTGTTTTATGTTTTAAAAAAATACATCAACTTTTATAAAAAAATAAAAGAATAGTCTTATCTTTATTTATTAATGTTAAAAGGTGAATGTTGAGGCCAAAGATAATTTAATTATTTTGATTATTAACTGTCCCCTCGGCTAGGGTTGGTGGGTCAGACAATGTTGCCGGCAAATCAAAACCGAAGGAGGTATCATTATCAACGTAATATTTGATGATCGTGTGTCAACGAGAATCCAAAAGGAGTAGGTAGGGGTTGCCGTATATAATAAGAAGGTCGAGATATCGCGACATTAATACGTTCCTCTTTTGGAATGAAACCTAATGCATGGCGCACCCTTGACGAACCCCTCTATTTATAAAAATATTATTTGTTGACATCATTAGCACGGTCTTCTTCCAATACAAATTTTTGATACAGCGACTATCTTTTTCGCCAATAGCAATTTTTAATTTGCCATGCTTTACTTGGCCAAGGAATTTTTCATAAACTACGAAAGAAGCAAAAACATCTTCGTGCACGTCCCTACAGTTCTGGATTAGAACCTGAATGCAGGTGCCCATGCCTTTCCATGATGAATCGCATTTACTATAGAGTTTCAGCTCAATTACCCTTAGGAATATTTTCAGAACAGGACTCATTGACAACATAAGGACTATTTAATCCTTAATCTGCGTTTACTCCTTCGGTAGACAGAGTGCCGCGCTGCTCACTCCTTTTATGATATTTTGTCGGTGTTCACATATAAAATAAATGGAGAATTTTTTCAATATTTGCTGATGTTTTGATTTTTTCAATATTAAAATAATTCTCCCTGTAGTGGAGCGGGTTTTTCCATCGTCATTTAATGTGGTGAATTTATAGAAATTCAGTCACTTCTTGACTGCCCATTTCGCGAACAATTTCATCTTCCGGAACAAGTAAATTCCCATCGCATAGATTCGATATAGAGTCTATATATGTTGTAATGCTATCTACTACTTTTTTAATAGCAAAAGGGCTGATTTGCGAAATTGTTATGAAGGGATCAGCTGGAGAAATCACAACATATTTTTTGTCAATAGGAATGATGCCACTGATTGGCAACACCGGAAAGTCCGAATTTTTACCTTCACGCTGAGAAAAAAAAAAAACAATTGTTAAGCGCATAAGTGAAAAAAAATGACTCGTTTTGTTTGGTTGTGAGAAAGAGTACAGTCGAAACAACATAGAATGTAAATTAACGCTAATTAAATATAATTCATTTGTATAGTAAAACAAAAAAAGAGAGAAAGAAAAAACCAAGTGATCGGCATAAAAAGAAATAAAAACTGAAATAAACTTTATTAACCTGCCAATAAAGTTAAATGAGTGGTTTAAATGAAGGTACAGGTGACAGGTGACAAGAGCATTAAAAGGTATTGTTGTAGCTTATAATATATGCATTACAGCAAGATCATGCTTCTGTAAATAAAAGACGCGACTGCGGAGGCGGGGCATGGGAAGGGAGCGTACGTGAGGGACGAGTAGGGAGACTACGGATTCGACGAACGGACTAAGACTGGACCAACATATGTCAGACAAGACAAAGCACCGACTGACATACTATTAGCGAGTAGTAAGATGAAAAGTAATAGATCTATTAGGTTGTGCCATATTGCATATTTTGTGTTTTTCTTTGTATCTTTCTATTGTTAACATGCGGTACGGCGGGCAAGCCATGAAGGGGCGACCGCTCTACCGCCATGAGCTAGGCCGTATATAAACACTGCTATGTTACAAGTTTCCAATCTTTCTATAAACACAACCCTGTCATAACAATTTTGTGAAAATTTGCTTTGTGTTAGATGTATGTTCACCTTTTAAACTCTCTATTGTTTGTCATGGATTACTTTTATACATTCAATTATCTTCAAATATATAGCTTCAAGAACGAATTTTGCTATACAAAGTTTGTATCGACAAATTCAGCCGATCCAACCCGTAACCCCGGTTGCTTGTTCTTTTTCCTGTTTGGAGCAGGTTTCTTGGTCTTCTTCCTTTTTGGAGCAGGTTGCTTTTTCTTTTTCCTTTTTGTAGGAGGTTGCATGTTCTTTTTCCTTTTTGGTATAGGTTACGCGACATATGACACACAAATAGTCGATTATATTCCGTCAAGTGACTTCTTTTGCATACTTTTAGGTGGTGCAAACGAAACGAGAAAAACAAATCATATTAAACCTTTTGTTGAACAGTTGTTCGAAGAAATGAACGCCGTGAATTTTCACTTCAACAACCGTCAATGGTGACATCAATTAAATGAAAAATGTCAGCAGAATCGTGAACTCTTTCTTTCTTTAGCAATGGATACGTCAACCCCTTTGAATTATTACCCTGTCTTTCATCATTTATATCAATCATTGATATTAATATACGGCTATAGATCTATAGCTTTCATCTGTTTTTCATTCGAATTCGCTACACCACCCAATGATTTGTAAACAATTGTATATGTTTTTCATTCCAATTACTATAAACTATAGTTAAATTAAAGACTTTCTTTACGCCTAGCTTAGGCGATCGCTAAACCCATTTCATATTTCTCTGAAAAATATGTACGTGAACCTGAGTTACACCGCTTTTCAATATTTATTCTTGCAAATTCGACTTATTATTCTTTGTCGACATAGTTATTATTTCTTCTTTTAGGCGTATTGCAAAGATCCACAAATATTACTTTTGTAAAATATTCAATTGTGAGGACGTTTCGTCCCTTTTCCTACAGCTGGGGCAGCTCAGCGGCCCAGGGAAGGAAACACAAGAATATTTATTTGTTCCAGCGACCTTCATTGTTCGCTTTTACATTTAAGTTTTATTCCGCATATCGCGACTAAGACTCAAACTCGACTCTCTAATAATGACTCTCTAGAGCCAGACTAACCTCCTCTCTGCTCGAGAGTTTAACGTCGACTCCTTTAACCTATTTTTATTATCCTACTCCTAACCTATCCTTAGCCTACGCTAAATCTATTCTATACTATTTTTATTCATTATCCTATGCTTATGCTAATTTACTCTCTAGCACTCCCTCTCTTCCTCAGCCAGAGACGGAGAACTCGTGAGGCCAAAACGAGGGACGACTTCTATACAATTAGCTGTGTGGTCATATGAATGTGAAGACGCCCTCCCTATTCTAGGTATCAACCCTATTACGTATCAACCTTAAACTTTTGCAAAATTTAAAAGCTTGTTCTTTCCTTTATCCTTCAATTTTGCTCTTTAATCCCGTCAAGTCTAGTTCTAAAGTTCGAAAACTTTGAAAATCACTTATATTTCATCTGCTCTCTTTATAATAATATAGATATATTTCCAATTTTCCAAATTTTATTCGGAAGTGTTAACTCACTGTTTATTCAAAACTTCGAGAAAGTTTTTATCCAGCAATCATTTGCTTTTGCATTCCGTTAATAAGAGATTCGACTATAACTGGATATTGGTTGGATTGATAATCGTTTTAAATTTTCATACTCGCACTTTTGCGATTTGTAATTTTACCCAAAACATGCAAAATAATTACAAAACAATAGTATCAGAAAAGGTATACCATACCTTTCAAATCCATAAAGAACTTTAACAGTTGGTTATTACTTTTTCCGCTAAATAATATTTTGCCAGTACACAATTCATATATTGTGCAACCAGCCTACCACATATCTATAGGTATACCCGAAATAATTTCAGGCGCACGATAAAATCTAGATATTGAGTAAGGAGTAATTTCGTTGTCATTTACAGTTGAAGCAGAACCAAAATCGCACAATTTTAAGATCAAATTTCTCTCGCCGGTTTTCTTAAGAAGTTGTAATGCCAAATACAATTGTTGCATTTTATGTCGTGGTGAGACACCTGGAAATACGTAAACCGGACGGATTGCAATGAAGGCGGCGGTATAGTCGAAGGTTAAAGTGTAGTTTCGTCTACCAAAATAAAAGGCTCGTAAAAACTTTAGTTTCAAAATATAAGCTTACATTTTAACTTACGTTAATAATTTCTTCAATTGTTAAAACTTTCTGCTGACTGAATTTTCAAGGTATTCATAAATAAATAGAACCGGCAGAAGGTGTTTTCATTGCCTTGACCAGGTTTTGAACTTTTGAGAATATCATGTGGAACAGCAAGTAGGTTGGCTTATGTTTCGCAATGAGTTTGTATTAATTTCTCGCTACTTTCCTAATTCTCTAATTGTTGCGTTAGGTCCAATAAATGAAAACTAAAAAGAAAAGAATAAAAAACCACCATGCTTGCTACGTCTTTAACTGTAAACGCAATTTCTTGTTCCTTGCTCCAGCTCCAGCTTTGCATGTCGACATTTTCGGCCGTGAGGGTGAAAGAGTGAGGGAATGGTAAATAGATGTATGGACGCTACGAAGGGAAATTTTATTAATACCCCAAGTGGGTAAACTCAATTAAACTTTGATTAATTTAGTTGTTGGTGTGAACTACCACAAACTCATCGACTGACTTCCTTCGATGTAGAACGAAAGTAAATATAAATGTTGAAAATTTCGAATGCAGTGCTCCCTTAAAAACTTTCCAGTCATTCTTACAGGCGTTAGTGTACTATGAATATATTATATAGTTAAAATAATCACAATTCTTAAGTCACATGCCCCTAGAAACGCACATGTTATGCAATTAAAGCGCATCTATATTTACATCGTAAGAAAAAAATGTTTGCCTTTTTCAATGCTATCCTGAGACTGCTTAAAATGGGGGTGAATTCTGTTTTGTTACTAGCATTGTTACTTACTTCGAAAACAGGTTTTCCAAACTATCTTTGAACTCGCCCGAAAGAAAGTTTATTAAATATCATTAAATAAATTCATGAACTGCACAAGAAACCGGAAAATAATCAGCGATCGCAAAGCACTGTGGACGTACAAAGTCTTTGCTATATTAACGAAATTCACCAATATATTTCATCGCAGCAGGATAAGCAGCGCCAAACGGGAGGGACGGAAAGCGGTGTTAGGTGGAGTGACAGCATATTTCCAGGAGAACTTCGTGGCGGACTTGTTATCGGCGGGTACGCAGCTCACCAAAAGCTGAAGATTTCATCGATGTAATGGATGAGCTGCTGGAGGCTTACCCTGGCTTAACTATCGCGGCCTACAAGG